ATACATGAATCTGTTTTCTTATTATTAACAAATTCTCATAACAAAACAAAAGATTGCCAAAAATAAATAAATAAGTGCTTTAGGTAACATCTGTAATTACCCTCCTTTGTTTTTTTTCTTGGAGAAAATCATTACCCTGATTGTGCTGTAAGCATTTTTTCCTAAATAATTTTACCAGGTACATGTTGATCCCTAAATGACATTCAAGGGCTTTTCTTTGTTTGTTTCATAAAGTCAGTGGAAATTAATCTGATCAAAAGTGTGTATGTCTGCAAAATATGTAAATTGACAATGTAGTTCACGCAATGTTTCACCTTTTTCTAAAATAATTTTGGCCATTTTCTTTATTTTCTTCCATTTTCATACTTTTAAGAATCTGCTTGAAGATTTCCATGAAAATGATCCATGAGGCTTTTGCTAGGATTGCATTGATTTTTAAGATCAATTTTGGGCCCAGCACAGTGGCCTATTGGCTAAAGCCCTTGCTTTGAATGTACCAGGATCCCATATGGGTGCCAATTCTAATCCTCACAGCTCTACTTCCCATCCAGCTCCCTGCTTGTGGCCTGGGAAAGCAGTCCAGGACGGGCCAAAGCTTTGGGACCCTGCATCCACGTGGGAGACCTGGTGGAGGCTCCTGGCTCCTGGTTTCAGACTGCCGCAGCACCGGGCCATTGCGCTCACTTGGGGAGTAAATCATCGGATTGAAGATCTTCCTCTCTATTTTTCCTCCTCTCTGTATCTCTGACTTTGCAATAAAAATAAATAAATCTTTTTTAAAAAGTCCATTTTTATTTGCAGAAATTGTTATGTTAAAAATTGAATCTTCCAATCCACAAGTATGGCATTTTTTACTATTTTTTTTCTCCTGGATTTATCTAATGGGAGCTTTTCTTTTTTTCTTTCTTCCTTTTTTTTTTTTTTTGGCTTCTTTTTCTTTAAAATTTATAAGCCTTGTGGATGTGTGTGCTGTTTTCACATTATTGTAAGTGACTTTTAGAACACTAGAATTTATGTTTTGTTGTTGTATATGAAAACAGAGTTGAAGCTGCATGTTGATTTTGTATTGGTGATGGTCCCTGTTACTTTTTGTTTGTTTATCTATGAATAACAGAATTTTCAACATTTATAGCTATGCCATTTGGGAATAAAATTTTACTTTTTTTTTTTTTTACTCTGTAAATATTTATCTTCCCCCTCTCAATTTTTACCTTTATTAATTTGTTTCAGTTTTTATTATAATATTAAATATAACAGAGGCCAACATTGTCCCAGCCACGATCTTGCCATGGGGGGATGGGGATATTTAATCTTTCACCATTAATTATGTCAGCTGTATCTAAAAGAAAGAAAAAGAAAAAAAAACAGATTCCAGATCCAGCACTGTGATGTAGCTGGCTAATGTTCACGATGTTAGCACTCCACATTGAGATGTTGGTCGGATTCCTGTCAGTGTCACTTTGCATCCAGGTTCCTGCTGGTAACCCTGGGCACGCAGCAGGATATGGCCTGGGTGCTTAGAACCCTGCCACTCATACTCTGGGCTGAGTTCCTGGCTCCTGTCTTCATCCCGACTGAGATCCAGCTATGGCAGCCCGTACACATTGAGCAACTGATGGAAGAGATCTCTATTCTAATTTACTTCTTCCCCTCTTTTTTGTCATTCTGCCTTTTGAATAAATAAATATTTTTAAAAATAGGTGCCTTCCCTTTTCTAATTCTAGTTTACTGAGACTTTATAATATCATTATCAGAGTTAAATATTACCAAGTAATTTTTTCTAAATTCCTTGAAACTGCCACAGATTGTCTCCTATATTGTTTCAATATAGTAATCCACAAAGTTTTTCATGGTAAACATACCCTGCGATCTTGAGATGGTGTTAATAATTTTTATATAGTACTGTGTTTACTAAAATCATTTTAACTGTTGTGGTAATGAGGAATATTCATTTTTTTATTTGTATCTGATTTGGCACCAGCACAAGGCAGACCTCAATAAATGAAAGGGATAAATTCTTTAAGTGTTTGCTAGAATTCAACAGTGAAACCTAATTTTCTTTTAGTAATAATTTAACATTTTAACATAATTCTTTTAGTAGATATAGATACATTTTTTAAAATGCTTTATTATAAAACTAACAAAAGTATTGATTTGAATGATACAGTCAGACAAAGAGACATCTACCATCTGCTGATTTGCTCTTCAGTTTCCCATACAGTTCTGACTGAACCCGGTAAAAGAGAGGCCAGCCCATCTGAGCCTTCCACATGTGTGCAGGGACTCAGTTATGTAAACCTTCAGCTGCTGCCTCCAGGTGCACTTCAGCAGGAAGATGGAGTTGAGTGTAGAACTTGGAGTGGAAGAAAGCAGCTTAAGAGTTGTGCCAAATGCCTGTCCTACAAGTATTCATTAGCTATTTCTTTGGAAATCAGGTTTTGTGAGGTAACACTGTACAAAGGTACATTGTGCAGTTCATCTAAATTGCAGGACTTACTGACATAACACAGAACTTCCTTTTGGTATTCTAACAGTACTCTCAATGACACACCATCTGTTACTGGAAATTTACATATCCTTCCCTTTTCTTACTTGATCAATGAGACATAAATCCATTTCCATTATCTTAAAATCCTTAAATTTTGCTACTATTTATTTTTAAAATTTTTCACTGTAGTTTATTGTCTACTTTAGAGTTCTAACACGATTTGTTTTGTTTCAAATTTCCTATAATTTCAAATTATTTTAAAACAGAATATTCTGTTTTTATTCTTCTTAAAAATCATGTTATAAGGCATTTTTTGCCGATTAATATTTATATCTCTATGGTACACATTTGATACATGTATGCTATGTATAATGATCAAATCTGTGCAATACCATCTTCAAACTTTAGTTATTTCAGAGATGTTGAGATCGTGGTACTTTTAGTCCTCCAATTGACACTGTAAATGATAAACATTTTTAATATATGCAGCTAGATGAGTTCAGAGATCTGTACCTCGAAAACCATGATCACATGTATGTTATAAACATGGTAATTCCTTTAGAAGTTTCCTTTTGCTCTTTCTGTGTTTTTTATTGTGTGTTAAACTGTGTGTGATAAGCACATTTAACATATACATCTACCCTCTCAAAATCTTAATGTTGAAGAATTAGCTATATATAGGCATAATGAAGCTGAAAAGATGAAGGCACAAACACACACATAGTCACAGTGAGTGAGTGAGTAACTGAAACTGAGAGAAAGTGAGAAAGACTAACTCATGCATTAGCCAGACCAATCTCCAGATGTCCTTAAGAGTCAGGGTTGGGTCAGGTCAAAGCAAGGTGCCAAAAGGCCATTTCCATTACTTCCTAAATGGTTGTTAGTGTCCTAAAACATGGGCCATATTTCAAACGCCTCAAGGATGCATTAGTAGGAAGCTGCTGGAAGCAGAGGAGCTAGGACTTGAACCTGCTCCCTGACATGAGATGTGAGCATGCTAAGAACCAGCTTAATCTGTGTTGCCACAACATACATCCTTTGCATAAAATGTAAAGCTTGAAATGTTGTATTTTTTAATTGTAGACACTACATTATACATTAGATATCTAGGACTAACTCCTCTTACATAACTGGACATCCAACTAACACTTTGCTGTTATCCCTTCCCCAAAGCCCTTGGTAGCTACTGTTCAACTCTGTTTCTAAGTATTTGGTAATTCTGAATTCAGCATGTTGACAGGATCATGTATTATTTGTCTTTCTGTGTCTTGTTTCTTTTTGTCAGTACTACCTTCAGGTTTATTCCATCATCTATATACAGAACAATTTATTTAACTGTTCATTATGTATATTTAGGTTGATTTCATAATTTGGCCTTTGTGAAAAAAATGTTGCAAATTATGACAGTGAAGTTTTCACAATAAAATCTTCACTTGAATTCCTTTGTATGTAAATTCAAAAGAAAGACTGGTGGGTCATATGACAACTATAATTTTATTTTTTGAGAAATCACTGTGCTTTCTGTCTGTGCATCAAATTAAATTACACTTCCAGTAATTATGCATAAGATCCTTTCATTTTATTTTTTTTCTAAGCTTAAAACCACAATATTTTTTACACTGATTTAGACACAGGCTATCAGGGTAGATCTGTATGTCCACAAGCATGTGTATTAATAAGTATTAACACCTTCATGAGGATTTGACGATATTAGCAACTTTCAGTTTCCTAGAAGATGAGAAGCGGTAGGACATCAATAACACTTGCCTTTGAAATAGGACAACTTTGAGGGACACCGGTAAATACAGACGGTATTAACAATCACCGTATAATATTTTTTTTTAAAAAAAGCCTATTAATGTTACTGGACTATGAGGGCATGGTCATCCCAGATATACATAGAATTATTATATGGCATTAATGGGAAGAAAATAGAAAATGAGAAGAGTAGTTCAAAACATATTTTATCTGGACATGACAAAAAAAAAAATAGAAAGGCAACTAACACCAGACCCCACATCTTGCCTTGATAAATGTTCCTGATAACAAAATACAGGAAAATATTCTGCCTCCATTTACCCAGTAAACATTTTATCCTTTTCTGTTTCCATAAGAAAGAGATGGTTATTGTGTCCCTGCTAAGGCAGAGATTTAGCAAATATTAACATATAGGATTTGGGGTTTCTCAAAATAGATAGAAAAAAAAAGAACAAATTATTTTCTGTACTTTCTCCTAACTCAAATAAGGGTACAGATGTTAACTACTAGTCATTACTAATTAAGGATCTGATGCTCATTTGAATCTACAACTAATTTCCGGTGCCTTGTTCACACATGTGACAATCCAGAAATACAGCAACAAAAAAGAATAGTCTTTTTGATAGTATGTAGTGTCACTACCAGCCTTAATTGCTTCATTTTTACATCACTAATGAGCTTTTACAGTCTGCAGCTGTCATTATATTTTTAAAAATACACACAAATTTACCAATCTAAAAAGAGTAATACATACCTTTCAGGTGAGGGCTGTGTACATGCATTCTTTGCAAATGCAGATTTACAGGAACAAATTCTAATGTTTTCTCTCCTTTACTGCTGCTTGATTTGAAAGAAGACCCTAGGTGGAAAAAATTAAATATTACCACCAAATAAACAAATAAATGATCATTTTTGTGGGTATGTTTGAATGTATCTGTGCATGTTGAAGTGTCTGACAGAAAAATGATAGAAGAAATTTAAAGAAAAACATATCCCACAAGTTGCTTCTCTTCTCGCAAATTAGTTTTACTTGCCTGAGTTATTCTTATCCCATTAGATAGAGCAGAAGAATGTTCAACTCCCTGTTTTAGGTGCCAACATGATACAGTCAAAACTCAGTTTTAATTCCCCCATCTTTGGCTGTCTCATGTACATACCCATAATGTTTGTTATTGCTCTTTCACATAACACACAGAAAATGCAATCTAGTTTGAGTGAGACAAAAATCTGCATTCACACCTGTTTCCCGGTTGAGTTCTGTCAAAATGTCTTGATACATGTTCACCATTTGATCACAGTGAGTCAGGACATTTTTCCGTAGATTGTCCCAGTGTGGAGAAAGTTCACCAAGTTCTTTTAGCTCCTGGTTTCTGTTAAGAAATAAAAAGGCAAAGTTAATTTTTATCTTAATTCTTGGATACATAATCCTTAATCATGATTTTCAAAATCCATCTCTGGAAAGTTCTATAAGCTTATTAGCTTAAGATGAACAACAGCATAAAACACAATGAAAAAATACAAGCATAAATCACACATACAAACATTAACAAAAAGCAAAATAATAATAATAATAAATTTCCTTGCCAAAAATTTCAATAAGACAGGACATAAAACACTTGAAAAGCAACACAAAACTTTTAATATAAAGTTTATAAATTACTGGCTAACTTTAATTTTTTTTGTGAAAACAGCAATTTCATTTCATTTTATGACACAGTTTCATAGGCTCTGGGATCCCCCCAACCACTCCCCATGCCCTTGCCCCATGGTGGATTCCTCCATCTTGTTGCAGTATTATGTTCAAATCCAGTCATGATTCTTTCATTGCAAGTTATCATCTCTCCCAGTGTTTGTGGTCATCTTCTTTGATTTAATGGAATAGAACATATTACTACTGCATCTTTTCTCTGAGCTCTTTCTAATTTTTGTGAACATTAGTTACATTCTAAACTTTTCCAAAGATTAGCTTTCTTCACACAACCTTCACAGGAAAGGACATGATTGATCAGTGGATGACAAGAGGAAAGACAAGAGGAAAGTAGACAACACACTGAAGAAATGGGAAGTTCAGTTCTCTAGTTGATTCTCTAGTTGCACTCAAATTACAGGATAGTCAAAGTCAAGATGAACGGCAAAGACAAAAACCAACAAATCATTCCAAGAGCTTTAGTTCTCTAACTCTAGCAGAGCTGGGAAATCAGATTACATCTGAACTAGATGATACAAGCGAAAAACCAGTATGTAAGTTTTCCAGAATTCAGTTATAATGAAGATATTATTTGAAGATACCTGTTTTAAGCCAATAGAGTCACCATTGTGTTACAACTGAAAATGGGTTTACGTCTTTAAATCCTCATCAGAAAGAATAATTGAAAGGGGCATGGTGAGACAAACAAGAAAGGGTGGTAGAGTGCCCCCTGACTTTACTGTAGGATATAGAGATGGGACTGTATGTCAGTATATCTCCCTTAAGAGATGATTGGAAAAATAATGGTCAGAATAGTTTAGCACTCTTCAGGAAAAGACCTGGAATAATATATGAGGAGTTAAAATGCATTGTAATATTCAAGGTACCACCTTTTATGCAGAGAATTACACAGATAACCCTGTTTGTTAAAAAAAAAAATTCCACTGAAAAAGTAAAAATTCAGAGAGACTAACAACCAATATAATGTTTCTTTGAATCGGTAAAAAGTTAATAGTGCCAGAGTGGTGGCATAGCAAGTTAGTTCTCAGCCTGAAGTGCTAGCATCCCATACCGATGCTAGTACGTATCCTAGCTGCTCCACTTCTGAGCCAGCTCTGCTTATGGCTTGGGAAAGCAGTAGAGAATGGCTCAAGATGTTGCAATCATTATATTAAATAAGGATACTGGGTACAAAAATCAGTTATTTTTTTAATCAGGAACTCTAGAGTTATATTTGCTTTATTGCAATTTAATTCATTCATTTGAACAAAAACTTCCACACTTGAAAATCTTGTTTATATCTCAGTACAGTTTCTCTAAAAAGAAAGACCAAGGATCGGGCAATGCCAGGTCAATAACCACAAGGAGATAAAAGAAAAACCGATGGAGGGAAAATGAGAGAGCACACACAGGTGGTACATTACCGATTCAGAACTTCAGAAGGGAACAGGACTAGTTTCTTGGTTATGTTGAAAATGCCAGGAAAATTATTGGAAAACCCTGTAGCTTGAGATAGTTTGTTAGATGGAGAGATTGGCATATCAGTTCCTTACTAGATTCTATATTTCATTGGTAACAATTCATCCTGTGTGAAAGTAACTCCCTGCACTCAACTATAAAATATGTTCCTGCCAGTGCCAGAAGGGAAGAACACAGGAGCTGGCAACATTGTTGGCTCTGCTCTGAAAAGAGATGAGGTTCAGACCCAGTGAGGCAGCTCCCTTGGTAGGTGCTACTGAAGACAAAAGTCAAGTTTTCACCATAATGGACAATGTTACAGTTAATGGTAAGTCTGTGCTGACAGTGGCAATAGACAGAGCTCCCTACTAACCAAATGACCAAGGTTTGGTAGATATTTTTTCGTTGTACCAACTGAGCCAAAATATGCAATCACTTGCATAACTGAGATGTACTTGCATCAATTACTTACAGCTCAATAACTTATAAAAACAAAATGATTATATTTTCCCAAGTGCAGCCCAATAAAATCCTTTAAGCCAATTACCAGTTATAAACTTCTGAAGTCTGAAAAAGAGGTAACAAACTCAACTACAGTGTTCAATGTTCCAGTTGATTCTTATGAGAAATTCATCAACAATCTCCAGTATCACTCACTTTCTGATTTTCCATACACTCTGCCAGCATTTAACTGTCAATTGCTGCCTGAGAGAATAAGTTCTTTCTTTGCTTTTAGATTCTTGCTTGCTATAATTGCCCATCTACATCTGTGCATGGGATATCTCTGAATCTCCAGACATAATCTTTTTGCTCAGATTCTGTAGCACTAGTTCTATCTGTAAAAGATGATTCAGAACTATGTTACCATTTTTGCTACTTGACTGCCATGCGGAATACATATATTCAATGAGAAACAGATGGAAAATTCTAGCCATGAAGAATGCAACAGCCTGTATCAGCTACAGATTTAGCAGGTTCACCCTGAAGGACAGGGACCCAAATATTCAGTATTTTCTTCCATATTGGAGCTGTAGCTGAGCTTTTTATGATTGATGTTATTCCACTTTTCTATCAGATCTGCAGCTTTTGCGTGAGGATGTAAGTAATGATTCTGAACATCCTAAACATTATCACACTTTCTTTAATGTAACAAAACATGTCTCTAGGTAACAGCAGCGTTAAGTAAGCAACATCCTATTGATTGATGCATCTGGAAGCCATCAGATGTAAGTTCCAACAATGGCACTGGGAGGGCAAAAGAAAACACATTTTCAGACTATAATTCACCCACTTAAGAAAAATTATGTTTCCTTCCAATGTGGACATGCTCCAACTTAATTTGGCTTGTCAATTAAGCTTTCACCAAACATCTGTTTTGTCTCTAAGGAACCATGGAGCAATGGGACCAAACTAGTGGTTATTATCAATCTGTGTTTGCAACTAACAGTTTATAGTGATAGTAGTTATGTTGCCTTGGAAATGGGTGCCACATGCTTGGATCCATTCCACATCTCTGTTTCTGTCATCAGGTTTATTCTCTTGGGAGTCCACTGTACAAACTCATGGGTAGACTGCAAAGGAGGTTGGCTAACATCCATTGGACAGGAAAAATAAACACCTGGTACATGAGTTTCCTTTGTGGTGTCTACACTAAAAAGCCATTGAAACATAAAGATGTTTTATCCTCGCTACTGCAGGATTTTTCATGTATCTAGTGTCCACGTCCCTTGTATACCATTTTTCTTCTATTTTCTTCCAGTTGCATAAGGCCATCAACCCTTCCAATGCCCTGTTTCTGAGTGTATCTGGACCTCACAGCATCTTTTTCCCCACAAATGTAAAGGACAATGTACAAACAGCAGATTTGCCAGAAGGATGATGAATTTCCTTCACTGTTGATACTAAGTCTACACAAACCATCAGGCTAACATATCTTCCTACCAGTTTAAGTTATCTCCTCCAATGTGAGTTAGGCACAGGAGAACTTGTATGTAGTTATAAATGTGAGCTGACATAGAATTATCAGTAGTATGACAAGATGGGTAAAACAGGACTGTCTCTTACAAACATATGAATTCAGTTTCAACTGTATCGTTCTCATATAAAAACACATCATGCCATAACATACAGTGGGACTGAATCAATATTCAGTTTGCAATGTCTCCAGTCACAAGGTGCCTTTGTATCGTCATCCTCAGTGTTGCATTCCCCAGGAAAATGCCAGATCGCACCTACTACACCTGCATGGTATTTGCGTTTCTTTTTTTCCTTCTTAAGATATATTATTCAAGAATATATACTTTTGTCATAAAAATCATAATCTTAGAGATGTCACAGCCATAAAGAAGATTAGAAAAAATATGAAATCTCTTGTTAAACATATGGAGAAATCTAACTAAAATCATTTAGTTTCAGAATCAGTAGAATACCAAAAATCTTCTAAGATAAAATAGCCATGTCTACTTTTCTGTTACTTCTTCACTGTAGAAAGAAACACAAAATAAGAAAAACACAAACAAAAACGTGTATGTTTGATTGATATTAAGGAGTGAGATGTAAAATGTGGGATCTTGATTTTCAGAACTATGTATGTAATTTTTCTATTCATATGAACAAAGTTATATTTCTGGATTTAAAAAAATCTGAGTATTTTAGTTTGATTGGAACACCTATTTTTGTATTGCAACTAATACTTTTAAATACATGTTCTAGGGCATTAATACTGGAATTCAAATGATAAGATTCAAATGACACCAAAGACCTGTGGTTCAGTCTCCATGTGTTGCTTCACTATTTAAAGCAGGCACCTAGCAAGAATGCTATCAGCTGCATAGTGACATTCTTTAAACAACTTATGTATGTGTATATGTATTTATCTATTGTTGGAAAGGCAGAGTTATATAAAAAGGAGACACTTAGAGATCTTCCATCTGCTGACTCACTCCTCAAATGGCTGCAAGGGCTAGAGCTGAGGGCAACATCAAGTTTGGAGTCAGAAGTTCCTTTCAGGTCTCCCAATGGGTAGAGTGGCCCTAGAATTTGGGCAATCCATTGCTGCTTTTCCAGGTCATAGCAGGGAGTCAGATTGGAAATGGAGCAGCTGGGACAGGAGCTGGCTCCCATATGGGATATCTGTGCCACAGAGGCCTGAACATATTTTCAGTAAGCTTTCCAAATCAATGAACACTGGGTTTGTAATATGTCATTACATTTTTAATTCATAGA